ATCATATGCTGAAGTAACGGCAGCTATGGAAACATCGTCGAAGGAAAATCAAAACCCTGCAAGTTCGACTAAAAAAGAAAACTGTAAAGCGGACAAGACAGACAAGAATGCCTGTAATAAGCGCTGTAAGACGTAACCAATGCTTCTATGATTTAGCTCAATCTAAAGTCGAATTAATGAAGGAGGATTTACGTGCAAAATCTGTAATAGAAATACAAATTTTAAATACATTTAGAAAAGAAACAACTTGAAGTTGAATTTCTAAGAAAACAACTACAATCATTTGATAAGTAAAACTTTAATATAATAAACTTTATTACATAATAAAATATAATAAAAAATAATAAATAATATAATTAAAACTTTATTATAATATAATTATAAAAATAATAAATAAAATTTTATTATTATTTCTTTCTTCAATTTTTTTAATTACCTTTTGATAGCCTTAAATATGCTTGAGATGATTTAGTCTATAACAAGCTGAAAAATAATATATTTAAATATTACTACATGTAAGAATAGCATGTACATAAATAATTTGTCTAAGAGATTTTTATTCTTACTTGCGGAAATAATTGTTAATTAATATGTTCTGTACATGATCATTACCAGCTGCATCATTCATAAACGGTACATTTCCGTGATTCAAAATTTCTTCCCATAGTACAGGCAACTGTAACTCAGGATCATCTGGGGGTAATGGATCTCCAGCACGCCGGGTAATGTTATGTAATATGGCAGTTGCTACAATGACTGGTAGTACTCTTTCGACTTTAGCAAATCGAGAACTCAGTGCCAAAATTCGAAATCGTCTTTTCCATCTTCCAAACACACGCTCAATGATATTGCGTGTTCTAATGAGCGATTCGTTATAGAGTGCTTGAGCACAATTTTCTGTGTTGTGTAGAGGCGTCATTAAATAGGATCGAGCAGGATAACCACCATCACCTAAGATGAAGGTATCTCCAAATACTTCAGCCTCAAATAGAGCACGTATCCTGGAATTGTTGAAAATTGTGTTGTCATGCATCGAATCTTGCTAACGAGCTATAAGATCCGTTATTTCCAAATTAGCGTTACAAATCGTTTGGACATTAATCGAAAAATAACCTTTTCTATTTCTGAAGTATTCTGCATCATTTCCACCTGAAAATATTTACAAGGGTGGCACCCAGTTGGACACGGCTCAATTGGACACGAGCCACTCACAGCGCTTGACACTACAAAGCTCCTAAGCACCGGTCGCTGTGATTGGTGGTGTCCAATCGAGACGTGGTCAATCGGGATCACCCCCATAGGTTTAATTACCAAATGACTGGATTTTCACATGAGTGCAATCTATGCAGCCCACAACTCTCGGAAATTGTGCTATGTAAAAAAATTTTATTTGCTCGGTTTTTATTTCATTCGTAAGAGTAGGAAATTTTATAAATCTTGGCCGAAGACGAGCAATAGCATCCGTTACGCGGTGAACAATTCTATGAGCAATTGTTTTGCTCACTCCAGAAAAATCACCTGCCGATATTAAGTGGCTGCCAGTAGCGTAGAATCTCAACGTCAAGAGAAACTGATTCATAGGAGAAATAGCATTGTTCCTGATAAACAAATAACAGTCATAAATTAGTGATGTAAAATATAAAAAATGATAAACTATTAAACTACTATTTTGTCCTTGGATATATGTATTATCAACATAAATATGAACTTCTCAATAGTAAAAACTAATTTCTTTGCGTTACTACGATTGTACTTATTACTGTCAATATCTTTTATTATCAATAACAATCAATAATTATTATTCGTGAATGACAAGAAGTTTTGTCAATAGCAAATACTCTTAGTTACAATGCTGTTTTATAATGCTACGTATACTTACGGTTCTGTCGGATGTGAAATTTCGGGTTCGATAGCTTCCAACACTTCAGTAATGCGTTCTTTCGATAAACGGAACCGAGCGTGAAAATCTACATCATCTAACTCATAAAAATGAACAGGTCGTCTTCTAACATTATTTGGTCTTCGATTAATATCAATAGCAAAATCTTCATCATCTGATGACGATAATACATGTGCAAAAGCCATATTATGTACAAACTTTGAAATTTGTTTCCGATTTATTACGAAAAATAAATGCAATACTTCTTTCCACAATTCAACGCATGAAACACACAACAATAACCACACAATTTCAATACGTCATGGTCGTAAACCTCGGTTAAATTTGTTAAACGCCCAAAATCGGAGGTTCATCTTTAACTGAGGCAAATGAACGTTAACGAAGGTTTAAGGCAGTTATGGAACATCACAAATGTGCTAAACCGAGTTCAGCGAGTTAAACTTCGGTTAACTCGAGTTAACCATGAATTGTGGAACCGGGCCTAAGCCGGTTCTACATTGGGTGCATTCAGTACTACAACCGCTCACTGAGCGCTCAGTGAGCTCTTGGATCTGATTAGCATATTCCGTTAGATCTAAAAATGTAGACCAAACAGATACAAGAGCTCACTGAGCACTCCATAGTATTGTTCATTTTGTATATTCTGGGTCTACTTCGGAGCAGACCCGATCAGACCTAGGTAGCCTTAGGTTAAGATAATTGGAACTCCGGAAATGGACCGTAAAACAGGAAGTTAACTATTTATTGTGCTCTAAACGACTCTGAAGTGAACTCGGGACCACTCGAACCGCTGTAAAAAGAACAGACAGTATAACCGAAGGTGCGTTCCGTATCGCGCATGATGTGCATGATGCATCCATTGTCCTTGTTTAACATTTGGTGAGCAACAAGGATAAATTATGCATTATGCGCATCATGCGAGAAACGGAACGCACCCCGAATCTGATCGAACTGTGCATACTATTCGAATGTGCATCTGATCGAACTGTGATAATCTGTACATACTGTTGATATTTCTTGATTCCATTATTTCGTTTTTCGACATACGTTTTATGCATAAATTGATCATGAGTACTTCGTCCTCATCATCGTCATCGTCATCGTCCGATTTATCTGAAATGTCTATCGGCCAGGAAATGTTTTTCGATTCTACTTCATCTTGTGAAGACGAAAATAGACATTGCATAACAAATTATGAAGCTGTCATTTCTGAGTACAACGAACAAGAGTTTGTAAAACATTTTAGATTAAGAAGAGATGTTGTTAACCAACTTATTTTACAGTTTTCGCAATCAGTGCATTACACATCTATCGTAAATGGTTGATACAATTATGTTATTTTGCTCATGTCATCTCGTATAATTTTTTTATCCAAAAGATATAAATAAGTGAAAAAAATACATATATAACTCGAAAAATGGTTTTATTTATATGTATATCAAATTTTAATAACTTTTTTAGATTTCGGTCAAGATGCTATATCTCCTGAGAAGCATTTATACACATTCTTGTGGTTCGTTGGCCATGAAGTATCATCGTATAGAGACTGTGCAGACCGCTTTGATCTATCACTGAGTATACTCTTTGACATCATTACAAGAGTATCTGATTATTTGGTCGATATTGCACCACAGTATATTCACTGGCCTAATGAAGAAGAAATGGAAATAACTAAAACATATTTTCAAAATGTGAAGGGTTTTCCAAATGTAATTTTGCATCGATGGGACCCACATTTGCATTGATAGGCCAAAAGAAAATCCTGAAAGTTACTATAATAGAAAAGATTTCTTCTCGATACAAATGCAAATAGTTTGTAACCATGAACGACAAATTATAGACGTTTTTATCGGGTTTCCGGGGTCTGTACACGATGCAAGAGTGTTTAGACATTCGCCACTGATTGAAAAATTACTTAATCCAGAATTACGTAAGTACTGTATAATTTCAGATTATTTTTTTAATGGCAAAAAGAACTTCCAATAAATTTTATTTTTTAAATGTTTAATATTATATCTGTATACGCTGTACTATATTTTTACAATATTCTTTTACTGATAAAATGTTATAGGCGGATGGCTTTTGGGAGATAGTGCATATCCGTGCCTTCCGACATTAATGACACCCTATAAAGACAATGGTCATCTAACTGCTGCTGAAATTTCGTATAATGCCAAATTATCGTCATGTCGTGTGCGAGTTGAGCATACTATTGGCATTTTGAAGCAACGGTAACGTAAATTATGCTTATATATAATATGTATATATGACTGTATAAAAGGTCAATTTAATGTATTTTAAGTCGAGAACCAAAATATTTCCTATACTACAGCATGTGAAAGCTTCGACCATAGATTAAAAAAATAATTCGTAACTCATTAATTTGGCCTATTATAAATTTAAATGTACTATTATGTAAACAATTTAATTTCATAATATTATATAAATTTATAATGAAGGTTTCGATTCCTCTACCACACCAAATTGCGAAGTATCGAAAGGAGGATAAAAGTTATATATGCATGTTGTGTATTGCACAATATGTGTAGTACAGACGACCTTGATTTGTTCGATCCACAATTAGATGAGATTGTCGATATTAGAATGAATTTGAACAATAAAAACCCAAATATATATGATGATATACTTAACGGATTCGCATTAAGGAATGAATTGCGTGATAATTTATTTCAACGACCTTTATAAGAATAAATAACAATATGTATTAATTTAACAAATCTTTTATTACACTACATATCACAGTATTGTACTTTGTACTTCATTATTTACTATTTTATTTAAATAAAAAATTCTGATTAAAAAAAACATAATATAGTTTCAGTCTTTCTCAAAGTAGGAACGAATTGCGTGTGTATGTGTGTGTGTGTGATAATAAAATCATTAATCGAATTATAAATTGCGTTTATCCCACATTTTCATCGAAAATCTTAAATTGAAACAATAAAAAAATATGAGAACGAATTTTATAAAATAGTTCGAAAATATCACAATATCTCATCATTTTCATCAACATCATTGTCGATGTCGATATTGTACTTGGCTTTATATTTTATGGCTTTCAGTTGCAGTTCGATGCGCTTGAGTTTCAAATACTCATTTTGTCGAACAGCTTTCTCTTTCTCTCGCCTTGTGCGGATATCTTTAGCAGAATCCCTTTTTGGCGTTCTTTTGATTTTCGTTTCGACCGGTGTCTCTTTACCATTTGAAGATACCAGTGTCTCTTTATCATTGTTACGGAATCTGAAATATGGTATTAATTCAGTTTACTTAATAGATTATATAATTAATAAAGAAATATTTTGTTTTATGTTTAATAATCGCATTCTTACGTATTTTCTTTATTGTTTGTCTCTTGTATTTCTCCTCCGCCTATATCATCTATTGCACAGGTACCTTGTAGCTGAAGTGGTGGGACATCTTTAGGTAATGCGGTTTCATTGACATCCTTCATTGGTGTTTCTTGACCTATAGACGGCTGATCTATCACTTTTGTTGGAGTTGCATTGTTTATAACGAGACAATTCGTTCCTATTAGTACCGGAAGAATTATGGAATGGACTTTTCCAAAAATATCTTGCAGTTCGCTGTAAAATAATTATTAGAAATAATAATATCTAATATTATCATATATTGCGAATTACATTAAATCTAATATTTTTAAGAACATTATATCAATTTTACAATTTTTTAATTTTTAAGTTATCATTGATAATGACCCGATCGGTGTCGAAACGTCCGTACTTTTATTCTTTGTATTAAACGTTATTATTTAAAATTATTGGCTCTCCGCCCTTGATTTATTTATTATTTTAATACTATAGAGCCATTGTTATTTAATTATAATATATATATATATATATACATTACATACAGAATTAATAAACAATTGCAATAAAACACAATCAAATAAATAAAACGGTTCCAATAATTACAAATTAAAAAATTCAACAATATGGAATCAAGAATCAACTCAAGGTGACGTTAGAGTAAAAGTATAATTGTAAGCAATAACTTTACAAACTTTCTCATTAGACGTTTCGACCCCTATGAGAAGGACCCGACAGGGATCGAAACGTCTGATGAGAAAGTTTGTATAAGTTATTGCTTACAATTATACTTTTACTCTAACGTCACCTTGAGTTGATTCTCGACCCTATAGTTGAATTATTTTAATTGCAATAAATATTTATATTTGTGTATATACATATACATACTTTTCAAATTCAAGGCTCATTCTTCCTCTTCCACTTTTCTTTGGCCCTTTATTTAATAATTTTTTTTGTATGTTTTTTCGAATGCTTTCATTTTATTTTCAATTTGTATGCTTGTAAATGTGTATCCGTATTTACACATTTCTTTATAAACGCATGCGTACATCATTTTTTTGGAAACAATTTTGCGCTTATCAAGCAGATTTTTATACTTTGGATACAAACTTAATAGGCATTTAATCGCTTTACTGTTCCAGAGTACAGACTTCGAAGATAAATCAATATCATCCGGTAGTTTGTCAGCCTCATCAGCTGAAGTGTTATTGTGTTCATTTTTACTCTCAGCTGCAGTCTGAGAAATATTATTGTCGCAAAGCATTGCTATACATATGATAAAATAAAAAGAAACCAATCAGTATCAATAATATAATACATATATGAGGCTGAAACTAGCATACAAAGCTGGTACACATTCCTTGCAGGACACTAGATAAAAAATTCGTAACTTTTTTCGTAGGAAAAACTTCAAAATTTTTTACAACTTCACAGACATGTCTAATGAAAGTAAGTAAATTACCTGAGTTTCCTCAGATTTACAACAATGTAACAAACAACAGTATACGGATTGAACGCTAGCTTCAGCACCACAATACGTATTACTTTTTTATTATTTAATTTTAATAGGCATGCTAAGAATTATACCAAAAAATAGATAAACTCATACTACTCTTCATTATGTATCGTCCTGAAAAATATACATTTTCTATATCTGTAAAGCAAATGTGAGAAAAAATTGTATCTTGTTGTACTTTATTGTTACACTCGTAACATATTAACTGAAATATAAATGGACATAAAGGGATTACTATACATATTTTATACATTTTATAAGATTAAGAAGAAAGTGATATTTTTATTCTAATTTATTATTATATTTTAGGTTATGCCAAATTATATTAACAACTAAATAATACGAAACCACATACATCGTTCAAGTCCTCTTCACCTATGTTTTTTCTTCCACTTCCTTGCATTTTCAGTGGTTTCTTGATTTTTGAAGTGCTAAGGTTATTGTTGGTTGTAACCCGAATGGACCCGCCGTGACCTGTCGTTTCGCGAAGGAGCATTACAGGATAACTCTGAATGAACCTAAATGGCTCTCAACCGCTGTGTCGATGAGTAACAAAACATAATCAAGTATTCACCTCAAAGATCCCCGATTGGCTTCTATATGACTTCCGTCTAAACACCATCAAGTACACTGGGTTCGTTCGGAGCGACTCCGAGCAGCTCCCAAGAGACAAAACGAACAATGCTAATGAGCGGTTGTAGTACTAAATACACTCTGTAGTACTAAATGCATCTCTCTAGGCCTGTTCTTTTTGGCTGAACTTTTGCACCAGTTCATCTTTCTTCCTCTTCTTTCCTGCTGGAGAGAAAAGGAAAAAAGATGAACTGGTGCAAAGGTTCAGCCAAAAAGAACACGCCTCATTAGTTGCAAGCTGGGCCCACAGAACATATGGTATATTAAGAGAAGCGCAAGATCCATGTTAAACCACGGAAACAAATACGATTGCAGCGCTCCAAATGAGTTGGCCCTTGTACTACAGCTGCGTTCGCTTTGGCGCTTACAGTGCTTGTGAGCATCAATTGTCCTTACTTAATATTAATTTAATAAACAAGGGTGAAACGACATTTAAAGCGTTATTTATTATTATGACTGCCACAGCGAACACACACACACACACACTCTCTCTCTCTCTCTCTCTCTCTCTCTCTCTCTGTATATATATATATATATGTTAAGCTTCGATTCATTTGTTGAAATAATGCAAGTGAGCAAAGGGAGTGGACTATTAAAAAAAAAAAACAAATAAGAATACAATAAAAAGTTAAAACATTTATTATAATCATAAAATATATGAGACAACATTCTCAGTCTTATAATATCATAACAAGAAATATATAGTCATATGAGACATCAGTTTTTAATTATCACAAAGAAAAATATCAATTCCTGCACACACAATCAGGAAATTTTTTTAATAAAATTGAAAAGAAGTAATGTTGCTAAAATATTTTACGGAAACTTCGGAAATCAAATCCAATCAACAAAAATTTAAAATGAATTGTAACAAAAAAAATAAAAATCAATCGAAATATAATTTGTTTCTAAAAAAGGAATAATTTTTTTACATAATATAGTTCCGAAGCTCCTTTCAGTCATTTTCGTTCTTAATCTAGATATAATATTCGTCATTTTTTATACTTAAATAAACTTTGGTATATAAAAATACTTAAATGATATAATCACAAATCACAGTACACAGCCAGAGACCAAATACAATTAATTAACATTAAAATAAAAAATGAGAATTTAATTAAATTGGAAATAAAATTTTACCATTTCACTTAACAAAAACAAAAAATATGCAGAAACAAAAAATGTTTGTGTCACGTTATTTGTACTATAATACTATAAATACAAAAATAAAAATATAAAAATTTCGCATAAGAAAATATTTTAAAAAGAAATTGTAACAGTAAGTCTTTGGAACAAAAGATTAAGTAAAAATGAAAAAATGTTAAAATATGTGAAATAAATGATTTAAGTCGATTTAAATCTTTTGACTTTTTTATAATGGCCTGAAGTTAATTCCCCTGATTCCTTTTTATCTTTGACATATTTAAAAATTAAGAAGGACAAACACTTTTCGACGATCATATTATCACATCGATGTATGTCGCAGAATTCGCTATTGTAATTATTAAAGAATATATCTTTGAAATTTGATTCTAATTTCGATTTGTGTCTATTTTCACTCAAAAAGTGATATAATCTATTATAAATATTTTCTATTAATGTCAAGACCTGATTACTTGGATAGGTTAATGCGTCTTTTGTAGAATATTTCTTAAAAACCGTGTATAAGTGATGTTGTTCTTGTTGCGAAGAAAATAAATCGGTTCGGCAACGTAAACAATTTTCGTCAGGAATCCTAAGATTTTTTACAAGATAACCTGATACATAAGAAAGTGCTTGGGATGCATCAACATTCAATTCTTCGAAAGTAACCCATTCAAGAGACACTTGTCGATATTCTCAAGCGATTCACTTTCTTCGTTTTGAATGCTGTGTGCGGATCTTTTTAGGAATTCTCGAAAATTGTCTAAATTTTCACAATTGTCATTTTCACAATTCGAATTGGAGATCGGAACGGACAAATTATTTAAAACAACAGTTTTTAAGGCTGCTACAAACTGGTGGCAGGTGGGGTTTGTATTTGTAATACCATGTTGACGTATTTGACAAAATAAGTTTTCTAATGGATCTTGATTTAAATTTCGTAAATTCAAATGCTTTAAGCCGAGAGTTTTCAATTGATGCCATAAATACATCACTGATCTTATTGTTGTTATCCATCCTTTCACGAAATGATATTTACTTGTGACATCCTCTCCTGATGTTAATTGTAATAATTTCCATTTAGTCATTTCTGGTAATAATTTGCTCCACAATTCAAAATGAGGTGAGTCTTCTTGTAAGCAAAATCTATACTTTTTTCCATCTTCTGGTTTTAATTTCCAGCCATTTAAGGAATCAAAAAGATCATCTATTAATTGCGCAAACTCTGCCGTTTGTAACGATTCTACAGGAAACAATCCATTGACGTTAGATATACTAAAAGATTGAATTGCAGCAGCAACAGATCGACTTAATTGACGCGCTGCAACTTTTACTCTCATTTTTATAAAGGAATCTTTAAAGTTAAAATCATTTTTATTTAATTTGCAAAGTTGCTTAAATGAAAAATTTTGCTCAATATCAAAAGCATTCTGAATATATTGAAATTTAGCTACTTTATTTTCAGAAAATTTTATTTTACATCGGAGCAAAGCATTACGAGTGCATTTTAGTAAATGTGGAACATCATAAATTACTACTATGACTTCCTGATTAATTACGAACGTGTAGCTAGTTGGGTCAACCTTATTCTCTGCACATAATTCGGATAGGGCTCTTCTTTGCGTGGAACCTTGGTCACAAACTGTTGCTTTTACTTTGATACCAATTTCCTGAAATTGCAAAATAATATTTATTATTATAGATTTTAGGTTGCTACAGGAAATTGTATTAGCCGTGAAGTAATAAGCAATTACTTGCTTCCAAGATCTTTTCAGGCCACCAAACGAGCGCGTAATTAGCAGTTTTAGAAGTTCGACCCAACTCACCTATGTCTTCATAACCAGTAATTTTTTCTTTATGTGCTTCATAGTGATAACCTTTACTTAAAGATATTTCATCGAATACTAAAGTGCAATATCTATCTAGTTCGTCCATTTCATCGCTTTTTATTTTTAATTGTTCTAGAAGGAGTTCATTTATTCCAGTGTCAAAAGGAATTTTTGACAAAACTTGTTTAAGTGTGCGGATTGATGGCAATTGAAAGTAGGTGGACAAATATTTGTAGAGGCGAGGACTCCGTTTGTACATCGACAAAGCGAAGTCTTATCCTCTTCTGTCCATCTTCTTCCAACAGGAGTGCGATCTGCATTTCGTAATTGTGAATTGATAAAATTTGTTGTAACACTATTCAGTTTATTATTAATGCATTCAAAAACATTATCATCATACATAGATTTAATTTCTTTAAAGCATTCCTTTTGTTACGAAGTTGTTTTTTCATTTTACACAATTGTGCAGTAACTGTACGATGAATTTTATATGTGCCCTTTTTTCGCGGTGACATTGACTTTAAAGTTCTATTTCTTTTCAAATTCCTCTTTTTCGTTTTTTTATAGGAGTTGAAAAACCATCATTAAGTTCTAAATCGTTAAAATTCTCATTATTACAATTAATATCCTTATAAATATTTAGCTCGATATTATTTTTACTTGTTGAATTTATTGAGCAATTTCTAGAGTGACTATTAGGAAATTCTGTAGGAGTTATTTCATAAATCTTGTCACTATTTACGGAAGTGGAGATATCACACGAGGCAGCATACGCAATTTTAGAAGAATCGTTACAAACGGCAGATTCTGATACAGCATTAATAAAAGAATTAGTGATTTCAAAATTTTTAGGTATAGCATTTTGATTTAAAAGATGCTTCGAAAAATTTACGAAATCTTCTTCACAAAAATGATCTTCGCAAATGCGCAAATTTTGACAATTGATTGAAGTATCAATACCACAAGCAAGCTTCCATTTCATGCAAGTGTCAGAATTTATGGGGAATCGATAAAAATGTTTGTTAATAATTTTATGGGCCTCATCTTTCGACCAATAGTAGCTGTTGCCACATTTAGGGAACATACAAGAAAATTTTTTTCGCGAAGGCATTATAGAAAATATCTATTTCAAATGACATTAATATTCTTTTGTAGAATTTAAACATAAAAAGAAGAAATTTAATTAAATTGAAATCTACACAAATTAATGTTATTGTAAATTGAAGCTCTATCCAAGAAATCAGTTAAATATAATCGTCGAAAGGAATCTATTAATATATATCATCAGTTTTAATCTTACATTCTGATAATGCTTTGCCCAGTTTCCTCTTACATTTTATATTGTCTTGCTCAGTCTTCTGTTACAGTCTGTATTGCCTTGTTTCTATAATATTCCATTCTTGATACTTCTTTTCTTCGGTCGATATCATATTCCTAGAACATAACATGCAACATTACAATTGTTTATACATTTTTGTCTCATAAAAAACAATATGCAGTAAAAATTAATTCAATAAAGTTTGTAATGAAGAACAAACCTGAACTTTAACCAATGTGTGTGTGTGTGTGTGTAAACATGGAACCTTTTTTCTTCCCTCTAGGCACTTTTAATGGAAAACATACATAAGCTTTGAATGCCCTTCTCATTGTACTTGTAAGTTTGACATCAACAGTTAAAGCAGATTGTTACATTTTCGTGCATAATATTCACGGATAACAGATGAATGTGGTGATCTGAAAAACACATTTTTATTCGTTTATATAATATTCGAAAGAATATAAATAAGTTCAAAGTATAAAAGACAAGGGGCTAAGAGCAACAGTGGGTTATTAGTTGCTTAAAATTTAACCTTTCTTAAAATTACATAAAATAAAAACAGACACTACATAACGGACACATACATAACGGACGCATACATAAACTCTACAATTACATGGATTTAACAAGCTTAATTTTAATCAGTCTTTTTCGATAAACGTTCTTAAAAAGCAATTTTAATTTGTCGTGTAAATTGACTTACTTAACATTGAAAATGACCTAATGTAAAGTTGAAACATCTGTTTTTATTTTGTATAATTTTAAAAAGGATTAAACGTTAGCAACTAATAAACTGCTGTTGCTGTTAGTCCCTTCTATATTTGAATTTTTTTATGAAGCGTCTTTATCACAAATCTAATATAAATAAGAATATTCTCTTTATTTTCTCTTGATCCTTGATGATTTAAAGTTATGTGAGATTGCCCTCTATCTAACTTTCGAATTTTTTGCTCTTCGTTTTTCACAATTTTTCCTTTTTCAACAGTATCTGAAATGACGGAAAAAAATGTGTTATACGTGGCTGACAAAATGTTACATTCTGTCAAAACGAAAGATTCTTCTTCGTACATTCATTCTCGTACATAAGTAGAAACATTACCTAATAAGACCTTTCCAAAACACTTGAACATAGTCTCAACGAGATGAGGCACAGAGTACAGGGAGTAATGCACTACGCACTTTCTCCTTTTGGTTAATTTGGTTTCCCTTCGTTTGGTTTTCCGACTCAAGTATAGAGCGTATAGAGTCACAGCATGCAGAAATGACGGATCCAATAAATAACCTCCTCGGGAAGCAAAGGTCTCAATTCGATTAACACACTATTCACTTTCGTCTACCGCAACCAAAGACATATTGGACATATGTCTTTGACCGCCACATTTCGGTTGACAGCTAAATGCGTGCGCATACGTTTTACCCCCGTTTCTAATTGGCCCGTCGGCCATGTCTGTTTCCAGTTTCAAGATCTAACTTTCCCTCCCCTGGCTGGGCCCCTATTCTTGAGCACATACGCATGGTGGAAATATATGTATAAGGTGAAGCAATCTGATAGATGCGCAGTAGGAAAGTGCATATTCGGATATATTTGATTGGCTATTTCCAGTATTGCTACCGCCATTATGCGTATTGTTTCACCTTATATATTTCCACCATGCACATACGAATAATTTTCGCATACGAAAATTATAGTTTCTCGACTGTGATTGGTCGATTGTACATGGAATTACTATTTTCCAAAGACATAGAGAATGGACTGCGCGATTCATATCTAAGTAATGGGGTGGCACCCAGTTGGACACGGCTCAATTGGACACGAGCCACTCACAGCGCTTGAGACTACAAAGCTCCTACGCATCGGTCGCTGTGATTGGTGGTGTTCAATCGAGCAGTGGTCAATCGGGATCACCCCCTCCCATTACACCATTGAATGGAAAGAGATAGAAATGGCCATCTGCCACGGTCCCTCTCTCTCATCCCTATCGACCATTTTGACACATGGATCGTGCAGTCCATTCTCTATGTCTTTGCTATTTTCGTATGCGATATTTGTTGAAGAATAGGGCCCCTGATCGCAAGTTTGTTGGGACAGTCAATATGAAGCAATTTCAAAATGCACGCTTCAGATTGGCTGTCGCATAAACTCACGATCAGGGGATCGATTCTGTATCTTCAATCAAGGTGAAAATTACACAAGTGAGCAAATTTACTAGGTGTTGACCAATGAAATTATCAGTATTCTAGTAAATTCACTCACTTTTGTAATTTTCACCTCATTTCAAGATACAGAGTCGATCCCCAGCTTGCAACTAATGGCTGCGTTCAGCAGACTCAGCAGTTTTGCAACCGTTTTGTAATTCATCGCGCTGATTGGATTATACTTTTAGATTTAAAGAAATAGTCCTATCTCAGCGAAGAATCACAAAACGGTTGCAAAACGGTTGTTGAGTCTGTTGAACGCAGCCATGACTACAAATAAGAATTTATTAATGCAATTTAATAATGAAAATCAAATTATAATATGATTCATTATTACTTATAGATCCGACCAATCATATTCAATCGCTCGGCGAGCAGGATAGCAGCTTTGTCCGGCTTGAATGCGCCCAATGTAGAACCGGCTTTATAGGTATTCTATTAGCGTTTTCGGCCCGGCCAGGTTTGCACCAACCTGGGTTGGATTAATAGCGTTTTGTGCTCTTCTATTGGTAGAGCGGATGATGTCAACCAATAGGAAAGATTAATCCAACCCAGGTTGGTGCAAACCCGATTGGGCCGAAAACGCTATAGGTTTATTCGTGTCGTATGCTCCAACTAGAGTCCTAGATTTATCAGAGAGGCGCAACCAGCTTAAAGCCTTGTGTCCACGATGCTAGAAATCGGTCCGAGATCTCGAACAGAGAAAAAATTAACAAATCACATTTGTACAATTTGATCATATGACCATTGCGATTGGTCAATGCTTTTTTCATCCGAGATCACGGACCGATTTCTAGCATCGTGGACACAAGGCTTAAGTCAGTATGACAAAGGTGCTAAGGAGAGTACTAAACATGGCCGACATGCTATGAAACTGCCTTTAAACTATGTCAAACAAGATAAGACGTGTAGGATAATGTGAGATAGAGGCCCGTATTCAGAACGCGCTTTTATCGATAAAAGCGCACTTTAATCTCTAAAATTCTATAATATGCGTGACGTAAAGTATAGTATGTTAGCGTGCTAACATCGTTGTAAGCGCGTTCTGAATACCGGCCAGAATGTATAGGATAAAATGAAATAGAAATAAGTCACTAGTACTTTAAATGGCTGCCAAGTCACGCAATTGGTCAGATTACAACAGCGAATCAGAATGCATAACACCGGTTGCGCCTCTCTGATAAATCTAGGACTCTAGCTCCAACATGTTCCAACATACTCCTACCATAGCTCCTACTCACTCTATCAAGCGCGTTGGAGTGAGTAGGAGCTATGGTAGGAGCATATTGGAACATATTGGAGCATGCGACGCGAACAAACCCTATATCTAAACTCAGCCAACGCAAGGGCTCTATTCTTGAAAAGCAACGTATACGAAAGTCTAGGGAAATGCTACAGTATAGCTGGAAACACAATAGACACAGGCAATAGGCACAGGCAACAGGGAACGAGCCGTCCAATCAGAGCTTTGGGGTATAAGGGGTCTACTGTGTTTTCAGCTTAAGGCTGGAGTCCCATGAGGTGTATTTACCGCGTATCGCGTAACCGCGTAACCAATCAGAAGCGATCCGCTGTTGTGATTCTGCGTTTTACTGATTATTGATTGGTTACGCGGTTACGCGATACGCGGCAAATACGCTTCATGGGACTCCACCCTGAATGTTAAGTATACTATAGTATTTCCCTAGATTTTCGTATACGTTTCTTTTCAAGAATAGAGCCCCAGGCAGTGATGCACATCTGGCTCTCGGGCAACACGAGAATCATCCCCACCACTCTTGCTGTCTCCCCCCCCCCCCCCG